CAATCCTTTTTCGACCACATGCGCATCCCACTCACGGTCCTCATCGACCTCAAGCAAGATCTCTTCCTCGACCTCGACGTAAAAGTGCGACACCTCTTCTTCTCTCCTATAAACCTCAACGAATGACTCCTCCTTGACTTCGACCGCTTCGGCCCCTATGAATTTGCCATAGGGTTGTACGTTGAGTATTGGTGGGCCTAAGTAGTCGATTGCCACTTCCTCGTCCATGAACACGTCGCCGAACGTAGGTGGATCCTCGGACTCGACTCGCTCGACCACGAACTCGGTGACTTCGTCTTCAACATAGCCTGGTAGATCGAACGTAAACATGGCCTCTTCGTTGACGAACCCCTCCATGATCTTGAGTTGTTGTTCGAGCTTCTCTTCTAGATCTCTTCGCTCGTGCAACTCCTCCAAATACTCTTGCTCCCAGGGGGTTAATTTCCTCTCCAAACCTTCGAGATATTCAAGATCTTCCAAATCCATCTCATCCAATGGTACATAAGACATTTTTTTTTAAGACTATAAAATTTCGAAAAAAGAAGTAGAAAAATTCGAAAGAATTCGAACCAAAGGGAGGAAAAAATAACAAAAGACTAGATGGCACTTTTTTTTTAATACTCACGAAATTTTTCGAAAATTAAGGGGTAAAATTCGAAAAAATTCGAACAAAAAGAAACAAAAAATCGGACCAAAAGAAAAAGAATGGGATAGGAAAAGTTTAACGTAACACACAATCAATCACTCTCAACGAGAGCACCAATAATGACGGATCATGTGTTCCGTTCCCTCGACTTGTCTCGATCACGGCTTCGCCACGGCCTTGCTCTCGACGATAGGTGTCATCGACTCGGTTATTAGTCTAATTCTCTCACGATACTTGAGTTCACTCGGTAATTAGCCTCGCTCCCTCTTTTGAACTAGATCGGGTCATAGCCTCCCTAACTCGGTTGAACTGGCTTGGGTATTAGCCTCACCAATTCGGTTGCATGATCGAACTCTCACGAATCCTAACACACAGTTTCGAACAAACGTTCTTTTCTATTCAACTCATCAATTCTGGACTTCTTAAAACAATGAGGGATGCTCCCTATTTATAGGTGCCTAAAATAAATCTAAGCCTAATCAAACTAGATCTCCTAAATCATTAATTAAAGCAATAAAATAAATCCTAATGCTAGTAAATCTCATAATATCTTCTACTATTAATAAATAAAAGCAACATGGAAATAAAATGCTACTACTACCAAAATACTAATGTCTTGCCTTGCACTCCAAATCCTTGCCTTGCACTCCAAGTTGGCCGCCTCACCCCTTCGACCGCCTCCATGCGTCGCGCGTGTTCGCGCCTTCCTAGTCCTCAGCGCGCGAGGCATCGCGCGCCTCGTCCGTCTCGCACGTGTGCATGTCCTATCGCCTCGAGGCTTAAGGCCTCGCGCCCTGCATGTGCCATTCCTATTCCTTGTAGGATTGTGTTTCGAGCTCATGTCCACTATTCCTATTCCTACTAGGAATATGCTCCCGGTTACGTTTCTTGATCTTCC